TTGATCATCAGTGTAAGACCTTGAGTCGATCTAGCAATGCCATAAAAAATGAATGAATAGAAAAATTGAAACTGATTGTGTGACGTAAGCGTATTTTTCGTCCAACTTCATCTCATAGCAGACATTGATCGCCTAAGTCGACACAAATATTTGTCGACACAAATATTGAGGCAAGTGTGTATACATATGCTTAACTAAAATTAGGCGTCAATATAACCTACGACCGTTAAGAACATCTCGTCCCGTTTACGATTAACGTAACAATTTACAATTATTTAAAGCTTGCGTGGAAGAGGTCGGTTCAGCCAAAAGTTCATTTCTACTCAAAAATTATTTTCCAACATTTTATATAATAAACATTCGTTAGCCATCCGTAATTGCTTTCAAGAGGGAATCTTTTTGTACACGCAATAAAGCGCAATCAGTTGCATTGTTGAACGGTTGTCGATTCCTTGTCCCTTGTATGTCAACACATGAAAATGAGCTGTCAAAGAACTTCAAATTCTTGTCCAGCTGATTAGAGATCTCTTTCAAAAAATGTTGCAAACTTTTGCAAATATATGCCAATGGGATGGAGAACGAGTTAGTATGTACGAAAGAATAAAGCCTTCACGGTATGCGATCTCTTAATCAATCGTATCAACAATCGTCTGTACAGAAGCCTACTATTGCTATATATTAGGATATGATTACTTTACCACTCGTCCCTCTTTCTCTCTCTCTCTCTCTCTCTCTCTCTCTCTCACACACACTTCTTCCCTTGGTCCGTCTTTCTAGCTAGCGTAAACAATAAACATTTCCATTTATTGTCTGTCTTCGTGGAAACTGTTCAAAATACATATTTTTACAAGTCCAAAAAAACTGATAGCATGTTTTTTTTTTTTTTTTTTGATTGTGATGAAATTCAATTTTCGATGTGCTTTCTTGTGGATTAATTGCGCGTGAACCATGATCGTTTGCTTATAATATGACTGCAGATAACCCATACATTTTCTGACCAATAATGGTCGAGAGTTCATTGATTGCTTGAGCTGCCTATCATCACAAATATTGATCGTTACGTTAAATGAATTTCTTTTCAATTCATATAAGAGCGCGAATAATGCATTCATTGATATTGTTTATGACTTTCCGAGCTGTAGGCATTTTTGTAACAATTGCCGAAGGAACAAAGTCAGACTGATTTTGTACCGTTGATATCCACCCATTTCAATAAGGAATAACATTACGAATATATAGCTATAGCTTTATCACACTCGTTCATTGCATGCGAACAACATAAGGATGATTGAGTTATTAATCGATTTCGAAATATGCATCATAATCATCTACATGCAATAGGGCATTTCGGAAACAGATGTGCGCATTATCACATCAAGCAATCAGCTGTGTGCGATAGATGACGCCATCTGGCGGTAAATGAACATCATCCGGATCACGGTATCGCATTAAGTTCGAGCCAACAAAAAAAAGGAAAAACATCGTTTGGTAACACGATCGATTCACGGTAATGGTCAAAGCAGAGTAGCGCTTTTCGTCAAAACTTTCACCGAACTGTTATTCGTTATAGTTGGGCAAGTTACGTGAGAATTTCTCTTAGATTTTCGGAACCTTATGTGCAACTATACGGCTCCATTATTCTCCTATGACTTTCGCGATCAATTGTATTTTCGCGCTAGAGCTTATATTAAGTTGTTCTCTGACGTGCAAAAGGAGAGAAGAGCTAATAAAAGAAGTCGAACGCGATAATTTATTGAATAAAATGTGGCTTGAGTTTACCATCAAACACCATAAATCAGTTTAGTTACGACATTGAAAAGCATTACGGTTCTCTTGTTCGATGCAATTTTAAGCAAGTGAAGCTATTATTAATTTTTAAATTATAGAAAAATTCATTTTAATAATCTTACCTCAATTACGATAACTGAGATGACGCAAAAACAAACTTGACTTCGTTGCCTTCAAGCGCTCTTCATATATATATATATATATATATATCTGTTCAGACTTTCTAATGCCTATTTTTTCAAGGACTTTACTTGTTTTGGATAACTAAGGGCATAAAGAAAACTTTACGCTCTATTATGTACATACGAACTACGACTTGACCATAGGTTGATTGCTGTGTCTCTTGAACTCTGTATTTACAGGCTTTGCGAAAAAAAGTTTTTGTGTATTGAAGCAGATTAAGCAGACATATATGACGCGATTTTTTTTTTTTTTTTTGATTTTTTCTTATATTTGTGAGTAGGGACTAAGGGGATAGGAAAAGTTATAGGTAGAGTGGATGAAAGAGAGGAGTAGTATTCGTGAACGTTCGATTCAAAAAGTGAAAATATCAGGTACTAATGGTAAGTGTTTTTCAAAGGCGAGCAGTACGATTAAAGAAGGACGGGTCACGATAGCGTCTCGTACGATATACAGGTAAATTCCATCACAAGTAGGTAGGATTGGTGTGAAACTTGCCTAGCCTTGTTGAAGGACTTAATTGGGCGGACAAATTTCTTTTCATCTCTGCAAAGGACTTGCTCTAGAGATACCGATACCTAACACAATATAGCTCACATTAGTTCGACGTTAAGAGGTATCGAATGTTTTGCCTTTTACTGTATGCGATCGACGATATCAAAGTAAAAATTTGAAGCTTCTCATCCATCCCTGTAAGTTATACTCAAATTTTTGGTGGAAAATTTGCACATTTTCTTTATTCAAATCTGCGTCCAGCGTAGGCGTTGTTAATTTTTAATTCCTAAATTAGACGCTTAATAAACAACCTTTCTTAACTTCTGTCCAAAAACTGTCAAAAAGCAAAAAAAGCCCTCAATGCCCTAAGGAAAAAGGCAACCTAATTTTTCCCCAAGGTGAATGTATAGAAGATCTATTTTTAATTGCCCACAAAATGGGTGAAATATGTCTTTCAAATTTACGCGTTGCGTAAAAGGTATGAATATTTGCCCAGGTCTTGAAGTATGCTTAACTAACACGAATTATCAAATCTGTAACGAGATTGTTCCTATCTTCCCCCTTTATATTTTCCCGCATAAGATTTATAGTGAACAAGTATATTCGATTCGATCGCAATCAAATCGTTATAGTTGAGGAAATTACTTCCTCTTGCATCTTTGCCATAAAATGTTAATAATAACTGTACCTTGTTGTGTCATAAGAACACTTACATATAACGAGAGGTACGATGAATAGAACTATGTATAATAGATATAGATCGGAACTATGGGGTAATAGGTTAGGCAATCTATGGGGAGGGAGGAAGGTCTCGAAAAATATAAATGGATATATTTAATATCCATTGTGTCCAAGTGTTACACGATCGGTTAAAATGCCCAAATATTATTTTCCACCAACTATCGTGAGGAACTATTAAAATTGAAAAGTTTTTTTCTTTTTTTTTTTTTAAACAAAAACAAAGTGATTGCAAAAATAGTCCGATTTTATCCTATTTACCTTAACTATTGATTCGGAAAACTTTTAATTCGATTGAAAATCGATTGAGTGATTGAATAAAAAGTCGATTTATTTCGACTCATATCAAGTGTTGTAAATAGCCGTTGTATATAAATGTAAGGCACACATACAAATATTTTGTAGAATATTACCTTTTAAACAGTGGACAGACAAAGATATATAATAAGATAAATCGCATATATGTTTTCAGATTCGAACAAATCTAAATCCCTTAATAGCCGGCAGGCAACGTTTGCTAAGTGCACATCCTAGTAGCCTTAACTTTCTTAACTAATATCGCTTAATATTGAGTTCATTTATTTTGAAATGATTGATTGGAAGGATCGTTTTTTGTCGAAGGAGCCTACTCTTAACTTTTACAGTTAAATTGAGTTGGAGATGAAATCGAAGGGACTTTTTTCCCCCGTTCTTTCTCGTCTCAATCTGTAACTTAAGTTTGGCTAGCTAAGGTACTTTAGGGATTTCAAAGCCGGTCATGATTAGATTTGATAAAGTGTTTTCTAAGATTCGATTCTACTTTTATTAAACGTTTTACTTTCGTTCCTTACTTTGCCCGCCTCACCTCTTCGAATGTAGCATTAAACTAAGACGTGATCAAATTTCCTACAAGATAGAAAGATAAGGTTAAATCTTTTACTTCTCGAGCATATGACCTTTAAGTGCCAATTTATAGATAATTGCATGTGTTTTAAAAGTGTTTTTTTTTTTCTGTTAAACCTACTTGATTACCTTCAAGAAAAATTCTTTTTGTCTTTTATTTTGCTGTTTCCCGTCTTCTTATGTATTTTTTATTTGTTGTACAAAAAGTAAATGAAAAATATGAGTTTTATTTTGGTGCTGCATGCTTGTGATGTTATACAAAATTGAACTGATTTTGTTTAGTTTTTTGCTTCCACAAATATTTATATAAAGTGCAGTATGTACATATGACTTTCAGCAGATTAGAATTTAGATATGTAAAGATCGTGTCCCTGAAAACTTGATTTTCATTGAACCCAAACTTTCAGCTGAACTGCGAAACTGCGAAACTGCGAAATGTTGCCTTTATTATGCAAGTTCTTTTTTTCTTCTTCTTCTTCGTTTCTTCTTCTTTTTTACCATGATTTGGTTTAGATTCTGTTTTTACTTTGATAGGATGAAAAAATTATAGTAGCGCAGCATTGCACGTAGCGATTTTAATTTGAAAATCATTATCATCATTAGCGGCGAATTAGCGAATTTGTGTTTATGTGAAGAAGCGAAGAAGCGAACGCAATTAGTTGTGGTTGCTTACGAAACGCGAAATCTTCAAATTACATGTGATCATGTAATTACTGTTATAGTAATTATAATTGTAAGTGTGTGTTTGTGTGCGTGTGTGTGTGTGTGTGTGTGTGTGTGAGCGAGAGAGAGAGAGAGAGAGAGAGAGAGAGAGAGAGAGAGAGAGAGAG